ACTGTGTCCCCCAGGGCCGACCCGAGGAGGAGGACGAGGAGGAGGAAAGGGGGCGGGGGAGGAGAAAGCGGAGGAGGAGGAGGACGAGGAGGAGGAGGAGGAGGGAGGAGGAGGAGGATAGGAGGAGGAAGGGAGGGCGGGGGAGGAGAAAGAGGAGGGAGGAGGAGGAGGAGAGGAGGAGGAGGAGAGGAGGAGAGGAGGAGGAGGAGAGGAGGAGGAGGAGGAGGAGGATGATGAGGAAAGAGGAGGAGGAGGAGAGGGGAGGAGGAGGAGGAGAGGGGGCGGGGGAGGAGAAAGAGGGAGGAGGAGGAGGAGGAGGATGAGGAGGAGGAGGAGAGAGGAGAAGAAAGGGCGGAGGCGGAGGAGGTCAGGAGGAGAGGAGGAGGAGGAGGAGGATGAGGAGGAGGAAGGATTGGGAGGAGGAGAGGGAGGAGGAAGGAGGAGGAGAGAGGAGGAGAAGGAGGAGGAGAGGGGGAGGAGGAGGAGGAGGAGGAGGAGGAGGAGGAGGAGGAGGAGGAGGAGGCGGAGGCGGAGGCGGAGGAGGAGGAGGAGGAGGAGGAGGAGGAGGAGGAGGCTGATGCAACGCGTTGGCGGTCGAGATCGTGTGTGTCGTGAGTTTGTGCAGGCCACCAAAGATTTGCAACGAGTTCTAGCTGAGTTTGGTTTGCTGGTACACACAGACAAAACGAGGGTGCTTTCTAATGACTCGTCGGCGCGGCCGGAGATTGCGGCTCAACTGGCTCGAGCCACAGGCGCTGTAGCTGTGTCGCATGAGAGGAATTTGGGAGTTGATTGCACTGCAGGACGACGTATTGCTCGTACGGTTCGCAAGTCGAAGGTGTCTCAGGCTCGACTCAAGGTTCGGCGCATGAGGAAGTTTTGGACTGGATCCAAGAAGCGTCTTGTTGCGGCGCGTATTGCTCGTGCTGGGATAGAGTCGAGCTACTCTTATGGCATGTCAGTGACTGGGTGCAACGCTGGTGAGCTGGAATATGCTAGGGCTCTTGCCTTCTCTGCGATCGAGCCCCGTACGGCAGGCAAGAGTCGAACGTTGACGTTTTTGTGCCATGGCAAGTTGGACCCGCTGTATAGGGCCACTCTGTTACCTATTGTCACGTGTGTACGTGCATTGTGGGAGGCTTGGGTGCCCAGTCGTGTTCTGGAAGCTTCTATGTTGGGTTGTCATGGAATCGTGCACTGGACACAGGTTCAAGGTCCCTGTGGGGCCGTCAGGCTTTCCTTAGAACGGGTGGGATGGACTGTGCTTACTCCGCTTCGCTGGGTTACTCATGAAGGTGATGTGATTGATGTGCAGGATGTGAGTCCGTGGTATGTCACGCAGCTGCTGGAGAGGGCAGTCTTGGCATGGCAGTGGGTGTATGTGTCTATGGATGAGACTCTTGCTCATCTCTCTAAAGGTGCTGTGTGGGAGCCGCTCTATTCTCTTCTGTCCACGGGCCGTTGTATTTCGGAGGAATGCAAACACCTGCCGCGTTTGGACTGCATGCAAAAGGGGTACCTGAGATCAGTGCTTGTCAATGGGCAGTGGCCGATGGCCAGGAAGCATGAGGCAGGATTTGTATCAGATGAGCAATGTTTATTGTGCGACGGCAGGGGGACGCTCCTCCACCGTCATTTCTTTTGCGAGGGAGCCAATCGTGTGCCGATGCCGTCAGAGTTTCGCGTACTCACCGATCGAGCGGACGAACCTGCTGTGAAGCTGCTGCTGGAACGAGGATTGTGGGAAGTTACGCAGGTGCCCGCTGGTTGGAGGCCGCCTAGTGATTCTCATATCGTGTGGCGACGTCATGACGGGCCAGGAGTGATTCAGGCTAGTGAGGCGTTTATCGATGGTTCTGTGTTTGAAGGGGACTGGGCCGCGGGGACCGTGGCTGGTTGGGCCATCGTCACTCTCGCGTCGGAGCCGCTCGGAATACTGGATGTTGTGTATGGAGCGTGCGAGGGCCCTGTCCGTGACATTGACGGCGCTGAGTTGACTGCTCTCATTCAGCTTTTGAGAGTTGCCGTGCCTCCCATCGAGGCGGTGACCGATAGTAACTTTGTTTTTGAGGGAGTTTATGAGCGTGGCCCTGCGAGGACCACAGCGTATTGTAGTGCTTGGGCCTGTCTTTGGAAGCAGTTCTGGGCGCTTCTCGAGGAATTTGGAGGTCTCGGTGAAAACGGCGTGGTGGTGCGGAAGATTAAAGCGCATCTGCCCATCCAGGCCGTGGAGTCGGGACAGGTCTCGAGACGCGACCGTTTCGGGAATCATCAGGCCGATTTCTGGGCCAAGCACTCTGCTTCTAGGTTTCGTATCCCTGCCGAGGTTCGCAAGAAGCGGCTGAAGTCGTGTGCGATGGTGGAGCGTGTTGCTCACTGGCTTGGCACTGTCGGGACCGAGGTGAATAGTCGTGACTGTGTGGCCAGTCGTCCGTCGGCGAGACCGATTCGGCCGCGTGCGATTGGCCCGATTCGGCCCGAGCGACCGATTTCCGAGCATGATTGGTATGGTCCTTACGGTAGCCGCTGGTGCCGTTGCTGCCGTGTTTCTGAGCCAGGCCAGCCTGTGTGTCCTGGCTCAATTGTCTCCAGAGCTGTGTGTGCGTCAAAGAAACTCGAAGCGAGTGGGGAGCGACCGCATACGTTGGTTGCTCTTGATACGGTGCCCTCGTTGTGGGCGCAGAATAATCCTTCAGTTGCTTGCATGGTGTGCGGGTCTTTCTCCGCCAGGCAGCTGAAGAGTTTGCTTGCCCCCTGCAAGAAAGCTGGGACGCATGGGCTGAGAGCCCTCAGGCGACTCGAAGCTGGTCTGCTCCCTGAGGGAGCACGTGTGGCTGCTATCATTACAGTTGCATAAAAGGCTTAGTGTTGAGAGGCGCCCAGACGCGCGCCTTGATGAGTCAGGAAGAAGAGGTGGATGACGAGGAGGGGGAGGAGGAGGAGGAGGAGGAGGAGGAGGAGGAGGAGGAAGAAGAGAGAGAGGAGGAGTAAGAGTAAGAGGAGGAGGAGAAGGGGGAGGGGGAGGGG